CAAGTATAACAAATTTTATGAATATTTTATTATTTTATAGATCGTGCATCATGTTTAGTTTTATACACCTACTAAAAGTATTAAAACTTTTTAAGAAAGAATAAAAAAATATATAAATAAAGTTTATGAATAATTTATAATTATTGAAATTCAATATTTTGAAATTATTTTTTCATTCCATAAATAGTAAGTGATCTTTAATGATATAATGATTGTTCCCACTTCTTCAAGAACATGTTCCTTTAAACACACTAGGCAGCCCTTGAAAAATTCACTTTTCAGACATCTCCATTATAAAAGATTTTTTGCCTTAACAGCGTACATAAAATACTCTTCACACCCCCATGGGTTAAGGTTACTTAAGGAAGAAAAGATATTTTATGAAGATATTTTGCTTGTATCAGTTTGTATGACAGCTATATGCGGTATTAGTACGATCTGAATCATTTCTTTGGAGATTGTAGCGTTGCATTGGACAATAATATATGCCAAATTTCGTAAGGATATCTTGTCAAATTACAAAATTGTCCAAACAAGGGCTTGAGTTGGTATAGCAGCTATATGCTATAGTAGTCCGATATCCGTGCTTTCGACAATTAAGCAGCGCCTTTTAAATATCTTAAAATTTTAGAGACCAGTTCGGCTATACAGACAGACTGATAGATAGCCTGCAATGGCTGTATTGACTCTGCTCATCACGCCTGTTCATGGTATAATAACACAGTAAGAAGAACTTCAAGTATTAGTTGTGTTGTAAATTTATTTTCCATTTCTCTTTCCATAATCAATTATTCAAAGTAAATGAAGTCAATTGCGTTCAAAGGCCCCTTCGATACAGCATTATTACACAAATTTGTCAAAATGAAAATAAATACTAATTTCTTTATAAACAAAAGGAAAAATGAGTACAAGTTAATAAAGATGACGTCAAATCAAAATTACACTTAAAACTCACTGTCAATGTTATGCGCACGAGCATCGCCGCCACTTACACACTCACCACATCAATAAAATAAAAGAAATATGCACAAATAAATACGCGACTTGTTGTCATATACGTACAAGCAGCAACACAATCGCACTTTCATGAACGTATTAATTGCAGGCTGACAAGTATTTTGTAATTAAATTTGTAAAAAATGACATCATACATGTAAGTGCGCAACAAAGACTGGTTAGGCGGGCAACATGTAGCACGAATAAACGTAGAAGAAGAAGAAGCTGAAATAATTGCACTAAAGTAATAAAAACACAGACAATAAAATAATTTGATGGCTGACAACATTTTAGCGCGCCGTTGAATTAAAATTTTAAGACAGCGAAAAATGTAGCAATACACAACACTGCATAGTATGGCACTAAATAACACGCAATCAATGTGCCACAAATTTTAACAGCAAGTTGGCGTTAATGTGGCACAAATGTAATAGCAATAGTGGTGTTGTATGTTATTATTTTTGGCGCGCGACAACAATTTGATAGGTTTGGCCGAGTTTAAAGTGTTTTCAACGAAATAATTTTGTCGAGAAAGGCAGCAGGCGGAAAATGAGGTGATAAATGGCTGTTGGCCAAACAGTTGTGTACAAAAAACATAAGCAAATATAAGCAATTAAATAATGATGATGAGAAAAAAGTTTCATAATTTTTTTTTTTAACTTTTGTAAATATTTCAGTAAAGTAGCGGTATACCAAATTTTGTTATGTCATTTAGTAGGCTGGTACAAGGGATTATAGCCACATCAAGTCAGTAAAAAGGCGTTTTTGGTGAATTTATTTCGTTGTGGCATTATATTTATTAAGTAAATAAAAATAATATGTTTTTATAAATTTTAATGTAATAGTTGTTGATTGCTTTGACAGTTCCCCAGGAGTACCACCAAAAAATGGCTTTAAGGTATCTTCATCTTTTGTCTCATAATAACTTTACAATAACGTAACTTTCTTACAATAACCACTTTTAGTTAAAAATTTGTAAGTGAGTCAAGTTCATTGTTTTCATCGCTTTTGAGCTAAAATTCATTGTTAAATTCTTTTATTTTTTTCAATTATTTATTAAAGTGCTAAAAAGCCATTCACATTTAGTGACATCCCATCAAAGAGTTGTCATTTAGTTAAAAAAAATTTCTACACAGCCGCCAAACGCTTTTACGCGTATACAATATATTCAAACATAAACATAAACAATTTGCTGTCATAAATCATTAACATACTCGCACAATAAAAATATTCATTTGGCGCATAACACATTTCATGAAGAAAAGCAAAGCGTAAAAGAAAACAGTTTGTAAATACATACTTGTATAAGCTTAATTAGCCGCCTGGTTGCGCTGGTCAACGCGCATGCGCGCATTTGCGGGTTAAACAATAGTTTAATTGTTTTGCAAAGCCATGTGAGTAGCAATATACATAAGTGCACACATATTCATGTAATATAGATATGCGTGTCGTTTCCGCCTTTCAAATATTTCTCTTAGTAATCTTTGGTTATTTAACAATAAACACCTACAACAATAAACATGTAAAATCACAAATAAAATAAAATATTGAGGAATGTTGCAAAAGTAAACAAATTAAATAACACTTTTGAATACATTAGACAATGACAGCGTCTCAAGTGGCGGATATGTTGTATGAAGAAATAACTAATAAAATAATTACAATATTTTTGCCCACAACATTCTGAGGTTTAGAAATGTCGTAGCAAAATTGTTTTCAGAATAATGTTTAAAAATTTTTATATATAAAAATTTTGTATGTTTAAACTAGTCAAAATATGTTATATACATTCTTCAGTAGCCGATATGGCTGCTTTAAAGAAATCGCATGGTGCAAAATCTGAAAAAAAAACGATTTAGAAATATTTAATAGTCTGAGGAAAAGTTTAATAATTTTCATAGATTTATAAGAATTGAGAGATAATTAGGTTTTATCTTCTCTTATACTTCAATTATACACTAGCTATTCTATTTTTTCTATACAGTATAGTTTTCTGCACTAAAACTATTTTTGTAGTATTTTATTATAATTTTTCAAATTTCATATATTATATGGTGATATAGATTCATTGCTATTACGCCAAGGTGTGAGAAATTTTTTGTTAAAGATCATGAACCAGATGCATGCTTTTTCAATGAGTAAATCACAAAATTGTGATTAATATAGTTTTTTAGTTAAAGTGCAACCTACTCATAACTATTATTAAAAGTCACGACGTTCTAGGCGTGTATGGCATGCCAATATGCATACCATAACTACAAGTATTTGCATACAATTGTGATAAAATGGAATTTATAATTACTTATATGTTTGTAAAGAAAATAAAAACATTTGTTTACTCAATGAATTAATCGCTAGAAATAATCGCATCATAAGTAATGATGCCGTGTATCTCGAAAGTATGAAAATCAGCTATTAGCAGATTTGATAAGTAAGCGAGAAATAAACGATAAAATTATTACATACACACAACAGAAAATAAATAAATAATTGAATTGCTGCTTGTCAACACTTATATTGAATGGCATGACATGCCAATAGAAACTATGAGTTAGTAATATTTATTTTCAATAGCCATATTAATACATCAAAAAAGCATGCAGCTCTATTTCATAAAATAAAACGTATTTTTTAGAATAAAAATACCAAGTATAATAAATTATTTGATCACTTTTAAATAGCGGCAAATCATTTATGCCACTTTCTCATTAAATATACATAAAACCGGAATTTTTTACATTTATACCATAACTATGCATATTTGTATTATATGCTTACTTTGATATGCCACCAAATTAATTTTAAATCTCCTCTTTTATTCTTTAATGTCCCATATAAATTAATAATTAAAAATATTTGCATTTGACACACATACCAAAGTCATTGGCGATGCGTGAAATCAACAGCTGCTGCGGTAACGTGCGCATGCGCATCATTAAGACAGAGGTATACAAATATGCTAACGAACTTTAGAATTCGAAACGCATTAGCATATTAACTAATTAAAGAAAGGAGCGTAAAGTTAATACAAATGCGATATAGTAGTAAGCTTTGAGTTTAAAAACAAAACCAAATAGAAATTTAATATCCAAATGATAGTGATTTTTATTAACATATTTTTATATGAGAAAGTTGTGTCAAAAATTGAAAAGAAAAACTATAAAAACGTTAACTTCGGCTGCACTAGCGAAGTTATAATACCATTCAAAAACACAAAATATTTCTTACAAGAACTTAATTTTGATCGTTCAACTTGTATGCCAGCTATATGCTATAGTGATCCGATGTCAGCGGTGTATTCTCTAATATAAAAATTTGCTGAGCAATACTTTTTTTGATTTGTCGTTGACTAGCACCGCTTCCGTAATCTGGATATATTAAATTTTATGGAAATTAACTAGGACACTACGAAAACATCAACAGAAATGTGTCTAGCCGATTTATAAAAATAGTTAAAATCCTTTAACAAATCCATAACGCCAATAACACGACTTTTTTAAGCACGCTTTCCTTCACTTTCTCATCATCTAACGCGCTAGTTCTGATCTCTCGTTCAAAATCCAGATCACTGTCAAACAACCAAACAAAAATGGGGAAAAATATAGTTTCGCTTAAGAGCTTTTTTATGAAATACTCCGCGTGGCTGATCGATGGCATAATTTATAAATGGGTTTTTGAAGCCGATGTATTAAAATATTTCGATTTTATGAGGCTACACTCATTATTGTAAGAAATCAGCTAAGAATTTATGTTGGATTATGCTGGAAACAAACAGTGGAGTAGCAAGGCTGGTGAGGTGAAAATTTTCATAAATCTGAACTGTTAGAAAATATTTAAAAAGCCATACGTTACTGTCAATATTTGAATGATGTATGTTTTTACTGATTAGAGCTGCTCTAAAAAATTGTCGCCAAGTTATTTCAGTGTTATTTTGACATTTTATATAAAATTCATTATATTAAAAATTTCATTAACAAACTCTACTTATTCTCCTTCTTTTACAGAATATACTAGAGAAATTCAATCCAGGTGCGCGCCAACTTATTTCCTCCGGCAAAGGTTATTTGAAGGCTTTGCATGGTGAGTACGAAAAAAATCAGATAATTGCTAATAAATCTCATGAGCGCAGAACATTTTGTTGCTAAATATCTAAGCATTTTATATGTTCATCTTTAATATTTTTGCACAGGTGCTGCATCTGCGTCACGCCTTTTCAATGAAGCATTAGCCAAGCTGGCAATGAATGCACAACAAAGTGGAACCAGCGATATTGGTAAGAAAAGAGTTAATGCATGAATAAATTTAAAAAAAAAAATAACAAGGTAAACTAGGAAGTATATGCTACTCACATATATACACAGACACAAACATGTATAAGCGCGTGGAGTCACAGCATCTATAGTAAGTATATACCTAGAGTTGCACGTGTTGCTACAATAAGTTGCGGCAACATAGCGCTGATTGCTTGAACGAATACTAGTAAGCAGTAAGTGACACGCTTGTCATATGCGTTACACAACCAATGTCTTTGTTGCTTTTGCAGGAGTATGTGTTGCAAATACAGTCAATAGATATTAATTTAAGAACAAGTTTATTACTCATTTGCTGTTAAATGTTAATTATAATTAATAATTTTAATTTTTCATACTTTTTATCATTTATGTTTCCAACTACAATATGCATTCTTTAATCGTTTTTTATTGTTATTTATTTTGTTTTTTGCTTTTCGTTAAGGTGCGGCATTGATGAATGTTGTCAGCGTTTACAAAGAAATTCAAGAGCAACAAATGAATATTGTGAGTAATTATATTGTTGACTCATAGACAAACGATTTTTCAACATTTATCTTCCTATTTGCCAACAGTTAAAAGCTTTCTATGTTGATTTATTGGTGCCATTGGAAACAAATTTGGAGAAGGATACAAAAGTTGTGCAACATGAACAAAAGAAATTCTTACAGCAGCACAAAGTGCGTATGGAGAGTTATCAGAAGGCCGTCTCCACGATGAAGAAACAGCGTAAGAAAAAGGCCAGTGCGGAAAATACAGAAAAGGAGTTGAGGGTAGGTGAATTTTATTACAAATTACAAAATATTAAAATAGCTTTGTTTATATGGAATTTTAAACCAAAAAAACAAAACAAGTTTCCAATATTGGATTACTTTATTCAATCATATTTACTAATCTTAGACTATAAATAATTCAAAATAAACCAGAAAAACCCGAATACTATAGACACAAAATATATCAGCTAACAAAGAAACCATAATGTGTATGAAACCGTAGTTACTATATTATAACCGATAAGAAACTCTATAAGCCATAGAATAAGAACCAAAATGTCATTAGATATAAATGGCTATCGATTAGACAGGTCGCAAACCATATACCACAAAGGATAAAGATTGAAAATAAATGAGACCATACATCATAATAGACGCAACGAATATATGAAAGATCATAAAGGAAAATTTCTTGACTTTACATAGATCACAAAAGCTTTATGTATAGCATAAGAACGATTACACGATTACAAACAAAAAAGTATCAGCTAAACGATAGAACATAGTCAAAATGTCATAAGTCGTAAATCAAAAGCTTTAGCTAAAGAAATAATGTAAAAAGCAAAGTTATTGTACGAACTATGCTTTGTATACGGAAGTGAATATTAGATTTAAGGGTCTTTAGTCGAAAGTTTTGGCAAAAATATGTAATTATCATATACATTTATATACATATACCACATGGGCTGAGCACTAACAAACTTTAACTAAAATATTATTAAAGTTCCATGACATTTTTTCATGAGCAAGCTTGTAATGTGTCGGATCAACTGAAGATCAAAGAAGACTGATCAAATTTGACCACGACTGCAAAAAAAAACTACATTTTGACGTATTTTAATACAAATCTTCAAAATAGGCACCAGTTTTTCGGTTTCGGCTCATTTTTGGAGAGCCTATTGCTAGATTATTCGACAGTTTCGACTTCATATTCTTAAACCCACGTCACGTAATGATGCGTTTCATACATATAGGGTTCTCAGCTACGATGTCAAGCATATCTTTTATGAACATCATGAAATAGTTCTCCATTCATATTCGGTTATCATATTTGGCCCCCAGCGAGTATTTTCTCTTTTCCCGATACAACACGTGGCTTATTGAAAAAAGATTTCATTCAAATATGGGTGTCAAGATTGATTTAAATATATATTTTGATACTTTCCAAACGGTATTAAAATGTAGGCAACCCGTTACAACCAACGCGTGATGGAGATTAAGTTGAATAAATATTCTTTAGTTATCAAATATTTTATATTCTGTTTGAGATAAATTCTACTCACAGGATTTTTTTTTACTTTCTATTATTTTCTTTACATTTGCTTTGCTTTACTAACAGAATCTACAAATACTGGAAGATCAAAAGAAGAAGTTGGACGCATTCTGCGAACAAAGCTACAAAAATGTAAGTAAAAACTGAACGCGTGCAATTAGTTTAATGCGCATCGGTTATAAGCATCACATTTGCACATATGCACTTACATATATCCACTAACACATATGCACTTATTAACGATAAACAGCGCGTTTTAACATTTCTTATGAATTTTGATTTCAATACACACCTAATAGGCCATGACACAGGAGCGCCGTCGGTACGGTTTCGTGTTGGAGCGTCAGTGTTCCATAGCCAAGCACTGGATGGCCTATCACAGCACTGGCAAGTTGGTAATTGATAACAATTTGGAAAATTGGCAAGAAATTGCCACTACACGTGAAGTGATACCGGCGGCAGCAGTATATGAAGCGGGCGGTGGCGGCAGCTACAGCCATGCCAGCGCTGGCAAAAGAATGGTGAGTTGAGATTAGTACGAATGCATGATTGTTACTGTAATTTGATGATACATGTTTTGGTTTCTTTTGGTTTTTTGTCTTTTTTTTTAACATGTGTTCACACACACCTCACTCAAATTGCGTTAATTGTATGGCCTTAGGAGCGTCTCAAAGATGGTGAGGACATGCATGCTGTTGGCAATTCGTCTTCTTCGCAGCTTAAGAAATCACGCAGCGTGGACGCGCCCTACGGCGATATGCGTACCTTGCATGAGAGTAATGTCAGTTATACGCAAAACTCGTTGCCGCGCGCCAAATCCGATTTCAATCTAACAACAACGACGAACTGTGAGTATGAAGCACTAAGCTTAGAAAAAAATTGTAAATTCTGCACTCTCTTCGTTTGCTTGCAGCGAACGATCATGTCGATCATGGTCAATGGGACCAACGCCCCGTCGTGAAGGCGCTCTACGCATATATGCCTTCAGGTGAGAATCAGCTGCCGTTCGAGGAAGGCGATCGCATAGCTATGGTCGGCAGTAAGGCCAAAGGTTGGCAATTCGGTGAGAATTTACGCACGCAAATGTTCGGCTGGTTCCCCATCGCCTACACTAATGCTGAGGGCACGGGTGAGCGTGAAAAGTATCGTGCAAGCGAACGCCATATCGAACGTAGTAGCGATCGTTATGAGAATGTGCATTATGAGCGTAATGGTGGTATGCGCAATTATCATGATCACTATATGTCTGAGGCACATATGGATCCTGCTATGGAGAGCGATTCGACATACCGCCGACGTAACAATAGCGCCGAGGAATCATCGCCAACACGCATGTTCGGTGACACTTTAAGAAATCAAAAAAAGGTTTGTGCGTAATAAACCGACTATTTGGACATAAATATGCTAACATCCCTCCCTTCTTTGTTACAGTACCGCGCAACAGCTGGTGGCAATCCACGCCCCGGTCCACCACCAACACTCCCTGCACCAGTGCCATCGAATAGTCAGAGTCAAAGTGCCAGTCGTATTTTGAATACATCGCAGAGTTTTTGTGGCGCTTCCAATGGCATACCATCTGTGGTGGAGCGACGCAAGCAACACAAACTGCAAAATGGACCACAAGCCGCGCATGTGAGTTCTGGATCTCTGTTTACGGAGATCCACTCTAAACTATTTACTATTTTTTTGTTTCCTCTAACTAAAGAATCGTTCAATTCTTTCCGCCAAACAACAGTCCACATCGATGAGCGCTGGTGGCAGTCAAATGAAACCCGCCGCGGCAGCTAAGACTTCATTGCATAGCAGCAATGACAGTGGCTTTGCCAATGAGCCGCCACCACAACCTGAAGTCGACTACTCGGATGAAGAACAAACGAGTCGTGTGCCAATACGGTGAGTACTCTGTCTTCCTTAGAACTATGTCAAAGCTATTTTTGTTCTAAGTTTTCTCTGTACTTGTAACTAACTTGGCTAGTAAGCTACTTAGTGCATAATCATAGATTTTTGACTACTCCTTCTTCTAATTTCTTTAACATTTTTTATTAAATAATTTTTAGTTTTGGGGAGACAAAAAGTAACTATTTCACTTCTTAACGAAATTACCCTCGAGTACTTTTAGATTAGCTCAAAGTTATAGAACAGGTAATATTTGGTCAGATTTCGCTGATGTACTGATCTGATCCTCCCGTTGGAGATTACGGACATCCTAATTGAATCATTGCACACTGGTTGTTTATGATGCTAAAATATTTTAGCTCAGTTTCGTCCTCTGAGAGTAATTTTTACATCTTAATTGACCACTCTGTCTACTCCTTCGATATTATATTGCAAAAAGCTTGCTTTTGAAAGCAACATACGAAATTTTCTAGAACTTAAACGTTCTATTCTCACGGAAAAGGGTTTTAAAATAATTGCTCGACCATATAAGTATAGTTTTTTAAAATCTCTATATTTATCAACAAAACTCAACAATAGTTCTCTGTCTCCTTTTTTATTTAATTACAAATTTATATATTTTAATTTTTTTCTTTTTGTAACTCTTTTCATTTCATGACCCATTCATCAATTTTATGTTGCTAATCGAAATTTGTTGCATTACCTTGTAAAAATTGTATCATATATACAAACGTACAATGCTAATCCCTGATCAATTGAAATCTCACTAAATTCACCAACATTTACAAAATAATGAAATGCGAAAACCAAAAAACAAATACAAACATATATATGACGAATGGATCACTGCCTGTCCTACCTCCTCCTATATATGTTTTGAAACACGGTACGCAACAGTCGTCGTGCTGACACTAACTCGCACGTCTCACGGGATGTTGCTTCATGGACGTTGAATCGCAATTTCCGTAACAGTGTCGATAGCCAGATCGACGATAAGAGCTTGCACGGACTGAGCCGACGTAATACGAAGATGCGTTATGATCTTATTGCCAGTGATGATGAAATACTGCAGGCTTCTAGTAGTGGCATAAAGCGCACTAAATCGTTTTGGAAATTCGGTGGACGCCACGAAGATATATTGGCTGGCATGTCGCTCTGGCAGCATCGGGATCTAGTGGCGGCACCAAACCTAGAAGCACTACGCACGGACAGTCCACAGAATAAGGAGAATGGACATGCGGAACACGAAGATGAGGCTGAAGGCGAACGTGAGCAAGAGCATGGACGTGAGAATGCACGCAATACAAACGATAAGAACGGTACACTAACAAAGTCACATTCTAACAATTCAACATCGTCGGCGGAGAAGTACCGTAACGACAGTGTAACTAGCATGGAAGCATACGATGACGACGAAAATATATATGGCATGAGCCCAGTAGTAAAGCGGGAGAATATAATTGTGCAGAATCGCAACTCGATGCAATCAAATGCGACTACAATGCGTGCCGAATATACACCAAAATCGCGCATGAAAATTATGAAAACAATCGAAATCGACATTGAAAATCCAACAGAGAGCGAACGATTAAGCACAATCAAGCGTGGGCAAAAGGAATATCAGAAAGAATATCGTGAAAGCACAGGTATGTTGCCGCAAGTGAATATGAACACGATGCGCGCTAATGCGCATGCGCGTAATGAACATGACAGTAAAACCAAGGCTGGCATGAGCAGCGGCATGCAGTCGTCGCGTAATACGATGAGCAACAGCCATAAGAAACATCAGACGAACAACGTGGATGCGAACGCTGGAAAGCATGCCAATCTGCAACATATGAAATCGAACGGCAGCGGCAGTCAAACGCAGTCGCGAGCCAAGCAACAAGATTTTCCACACTCCACAGAGGATGAGGAGGGTGACAGCGATGACAATGGCACGCTCAAGATGAGTGACGTTAACAACTTTTTCGACGATATCTCACATGAGAACACCACTGGCGGCATGATAATGAAAACAGTTAAGCGCAAAGATATACTGAAGCAATACTACACCAGCGAGGACGAGTCCGATGATGTTGAGATCAAATCCACAAGTTCGGATCCTTACGACTGCATAGTGATCAACGATCATTTGGTGCGTAAGGATGAGAAACAACGCCGCCAACTGCACAATTCCTATCAGGAGCACCAAATGGAGTTTCAAACATTTCGCGCAACAACAACATCAGCCATGCCACAAGGTAACAAAAAGAATAAATTGAATGGCGGTGAACAAAGGAATGGCAATGGTGTAGCATCGAGCGCTGGCAAGTCAAAGAAACATCAGGAGCTGCAGGACAACGAACGAGAGCGTGAACGTGAACGTTATAGCATGAATAACAGTTCTACGCTGACACGTAATTCCAATGCGAACGCAAATTCAGCGATGAACACACCGACAGCAACAATACTGCCACGCACGCGTCTCATGAAATCGAGCAATATGACAAGTATGACTTTGGAACGTGCATCCAAAAATAAAACACGCGAAAATGGTCATATCAGTGGTGGCGGTGGTGGGGGTGGTAGTGATAAAGATAAAAATCATTATGGTAAAACATATGGACCGTGGTATGATTTTTGGGATCAACAAGATCAGCATACGCTTGTGAGCCAAAAGTCTATGCACAATGGCAAAATGTGAAATCATATTTTGTAGGGTTAAAATTTTTTTTTAATAAAACTTATATATATTGGTTTCATAAGTATATGTGTGTAGATGAAAGATTACTGTTAAAATATATTTTATAAATGCAACGCTTAGCTGGAGTAAAATTGAATGGTTATAGCAGAAAAAAAATTTAGTAGTGCTCCAAACATAAATTTTGCAACAATGTTGCACAAAATGTTGCTAAGAGCTTGTGAAACAATTTCCGCATTTCGTTTTGTTGTATGGCACATGTTGATACTATATTTGCATATAGTTATTTTATTCATCGAAAAATTCATAATTTTTGTCTCGTATATATATGTATATATGAAATTTCAAAGCAACACTATTCTAAATGCATGTTGCCATAAAAATTTTTTGGTAATACCTGATATGTAATAGTAAAGAATAGCTTTCAATACATTACAGTCTTTCAGTAAAAATTCGAGATATTTAACGATAAATTGTATACAACATGACAGGATTACTGTTACTTATAGTAGCGGTTATTTCATCTCAATAGCGCAGAAGCGTGAACATTTCTGTGTCATATGTTGCTGGCAGCATTTAATCATAATTGATGTATTTATATACATAAGTCGTCAAAATATATGAAATGTGTGCACAAAATAACGGGATTTTTCGTTTTTTGAAAAAAAAAATTTTCATTTGTCTACATTAACGTTATTGTATAGCATACATATATATATATAGATAAAAGGCGCTTTGTATTTTCAATATTTTATTTAAAAATTTAAATTTGTTTTTAAATTACGCACAAAGCACACAAAAATCAAATACGGATATCAAACTTAATTTAAATACTTTTTCTTTGAAATGAAAAGTTTAGCAAAAATTATTGCAACCTAGAATGATATAGGGAAATTGCGTAGACAAGGCTTAGCGCCTAAAATCATGCCACGTATAACTATTTGCTTTTTACAAACAAACATAAAACATATTTCCAAATTATGCTGTTTGCTAAATGTTGCTTAAATGTTCAAAAAATTATATTTATTTATATATCAAACAATATTAAGTTCCACTTCAAAATTTATTTTTAGTTTCATAATTTTTGTTTGCATTCCTGCATCAGTACTTGCCATCGCTCGCAAATGTTTTTAAATTCGCTCATCAAATGTGTGCTTATTTCACAAATAATTGGCCATTTATTTAGCAGCATTATAAACTAAACCCTTTTTGAACTCTATATATTTCCTTTTTCTATGTGTATTTCTAGAAAGGGTGGTGCCTACCGAAATATTTACATAGACTTCTAGACCAAGTAATACATATACTGTTAACACACACACACACACACCTAAAACATCAACACAAACTTTTAATCAATTTTCTACACAACACACTAAAACAACAAGAATGAACAGACAATCTGGCAGCACTGCGTTCAAATGCCTAAAAACTCAAACAAGTACACGTTTCTATTCCAAAAAGTAAACGATAACAACAACACCTTGTGTATTTGTTTGTAACCTTGTAAGCCGAAGTATGTATGTATGCATTCTAAGTATATTTAAATAGTTTATAAATGTGTATAGAACAGTCTATTCAACAATGCTATTTGTAAACCTGTTTTCGCGCATTAGAAAACAGCGCTAAAATTACAAAAATATATCTGTATGCATAATTCTATTTCCTTATCTATGTATATTGTATATAAATGGAAAATCTGTTGGTCTTCTCATAGTTAAAATTTTGAAAGAAAATATGTGTTTGCCATTGCAAATTAAAATTACGATATGTTTTCTTTATTTGTTTTTATTTTCCATCTGTCACTTTTCTTAACATGTACCGTTATGTATAGTGCATGCCAATTTGCCACAGTCAAACTGCGTCACACCAAAACTAACGACCGTTCGGCTCCAATGATTTATCGGAGCATAAATAAATAATATATAATTTTAATTTAATTGAGTTAGTAGTTTAAGCATACATAATATTTCATAAAAAATAAACATGCATAAAAATTTACTATATAAATAAAGAAATATAATAAATAAATAAATAAACAAGTATATAATAAATACACATATATACATATTGACTTGGTATAATTTGGTTTATTATAAGATTTATGCATATGCATGTGTTATACAAGTTGATATATATTGCAAAAGTATTTTTTTAATTTTATTTCATGTTTTATTTTTATTCCTTATTTTTTTGTCTTATAGATATGTAAGTATATAAAATTATTTGCTGCAAAAATATTTGTTACCGTGTATACTTTTATGTAATCGTTTATTATGAATAAAATATGATTTTTTAAATAAACATAAAGCAAACTTTTAATTCAGTTTTTAAAAGATATTAAACCTTTTTTATAATACCATAGCTATAATATATCCGAAAATACTGTGCACCATGGCGTATGAGTAATGAATTTGGTTTATAGACACTTTTGTTATGTGATGCTCAACTAATACATATGTATGTATTTAGATGAGTCACTCTTAATTAAAAAAACAATAAATTGTTAACTTCCGAAAAGATTCCTTACAAGTATTTGATTGTGTTTGGTCAGTTTGTATATTAGCTATATGTTACAGTGACTCGATCTGAAAAATTTCTTCAGAGATTGCATCACTGCCTTAGGCAATAACCCATACCGAATTTCGTGAACATATCTCGTCAAATACAAAAGTTTTCCATGCAAGAGTTTGATTCTGATCGTGCAGTTTGTGTGACAGCTATATGTTATAACGAACCGATATCGGCGGTTCCGATAAATGAGCAAATTCTTGAAGAAAAAAGAACGTGTGCAAAATTTCAGATCGATATCTGAAAAACTGAGAGGCTCGTTCGCGTAAATACAGACAGACGGACATGGCTAAATCGACTCAGTTTGTCATGCTGATAAGAACTTGATTCCGATGGTTCAGTTTGTATGGCAGCTATATGGTATAGTGGTCCGATATTTGCGGTTCCGACAAACGAGCAGCATCTTGAGAAGAGCAGTACGTGTGTAAAATTTAAGAGCAATATATCCAAAATGAGGGAATGTTTCGCATATATACAGACATATGGACAAGGCTAAATCAACTCGGCTTATCATGCTGATCATATATACTTTATAGGATCTCTGACGTTTCCTTCTGGGTGTTACAAACTTCGTCTCAAACTTAATATACCCTGCTCGCGGTATAAAAACACAAACATCACATATATTCCTATAACTCATTGCAGTATATTGCAGTTATTGATAGATGATATCTCCTCCTCATATGATTTACTAACACAATATGGAAATTTATTGAGCTTATACTAAAAGAAAAAAGAAAGTGCAACACGATTGGATAAATGTGCACACATAAAAAATAACAGCTCACGTGCCAAATATCCACGTTACATATAAATTATATATATAAACGCTGATTGGCTGAACTTGAAGTTCAATCAGCTGCGCCACCCACAGCTGATACCCGCAAGTATACAAGCACACATATTATATCTCGCGAGCCCAAAACAGCAGTAATTTAAATAGAATTTAGTAGCTAAGTGCAAGCAAGGTAATCATATGGTGTTAAGTACATTTAAATTTGTCCTAAATACTCACAAACTGTTACGGTTGCATGCAACCTTTGCTTGTAAGCAAACTCGTACAAACATGTACATATGTTACAGTAACGTCGAGTGCGCTGCTATTGAATACTAATGCATAAGTGCTATTTGATGATACGAGTAGTTACATGGATGGCGTGTGTATATGCATGCTGCATTTGTTAGACGGCAGAGCTTCTAAATGGAAATCCTGCTGTCAACTGCATTTCCTGCAAAACGGCGGCCTGCCACCATTTCACTTTAACTTCGAACTTAGTTCTGCCAATGTAAACGAGCTGCAACGTGGCAACATGCGCTTACATCCATAGCCGCACACACGCATACAGCTACATCATTTTTTACTCCGTAAGTGTGAAATGAATTTCAATTTCACTTAAATTTTGAATGACTGGCAGGCAGCCGCCATGCAATACGGCTGAATTTTTTTTCGGCAGAGAGAGTAAATGAGAGAAGCGATTTCACTTTTTGTTCAGTGTGCAAAAAGTCGAACAACTATTATGTCGTATGAAATTTACGCCCACTTATATATTTTTCATAGTGCAAAAATCATGCTTACTAGGTGTTAAATAAGCAATTGCGTGTGCCAATCATACGAATATATTAACACACATACATACATACATTTGCACTGCATATATTTAAGGCCCTTGAAGCTTTGATGGCTTAGACCTTTAACGGTATTTGGTAATATTTGTCTGAATTGCATGTGTATGTGTATGTATGTTCGCGCTCATGACATTTGAAATTAAAACTTATTGAAAAGTGTGCGTGAATAAAATGTTAAAAGGATACTTTCGCTGTAAGCCTTTTGAAGCGTGTGAAATTTGTGAATATTTAAATCATTGCGCTTTGAACAGTGGAACGGTCTAAACGTTTATTGCGGGTGTTCAAAAAAATTTATCAAATTGAAAAAAATATATATATTTAATAATAGAAAATATAGTGTTCAATAACTATATATTATATATATATAACTATATTTTATGGCAAAAAACAAAAATATAAAACAATATAAAAATTATTGACTTGCAAAAAAAATAATTTTTAAAAAACTAAAGTGAAAATAATTAGTAAAAATATAATTTCATCTATAAATCATATTTATAATTTTTATAAAAGTCTTACATAATATACTACAAAATGAGCTCACGTTTTATAGCCGAGGGTGGCACACCAATCACACCAGAACTGGCAACGGTAAACTATAATAAGTTTCGAAAACTTTCATATGAGCATATTTTCAAAAATTGTCAACATTTTTATTTTAAATATATAACATATTTTTTTTAGAAAAGTTTTGTTTAGTTAATTTATTATATTTCGAAAAAAATTTATATATATATAAATATAAAAAAATGTATAAATATATTTATATATAATTTTTTTTTAGTTTTTCGGAAATGTTTATAAAAGTTGCGTTATATTTCCGGGGAACAGCAAAAACTAAAAAAAAAAACTTTTAATTAATTTATGAATTCTAATTAGTCGTAATAAATCTTTCTAAAAATTAAGAAAATGAGCCCGAAAAAACGTAACTTTGGCTGCACCGAAACTATAATCCATCATTGATGCCAATCGTTTAGTTTGTATGGCCAAATATCAGATCAATATTTCAAAAACTGAGGAACTAGTTCGCGTATATACAAATAGACGGACAGACCGACGGGCATGGCTAAATCGACTCAGCTCATCATGCTGATCATTCCGACGTTTTCTTCTGAGTGTTATAAACATCGTGGCAACCTTAATATACCCTCTTCAGGGTATTTTTGATAATTAAAACTATAACTTCGTAATAAAATTTATTTCTTACAATTCTGTAAAATAATTGAGCACTAGAGAACCGTTTAGTGCTCAATTACTGTACTAAAAAGCGTTAGAAGATTCTATGAATTTTTTTTAAATTGGTGTAATTAATTTTCTAAATTAAGTTTAAATTTCAAATTTTTCTAAATTTAATTTAAATTCTAAATTTAATTTAAATTGAATGAAAATTCATTAAAACAATTTTAAAAAAATTCATAGAATCTTTTCGTGCTCAATTATTTTACAGAATTGTAAGAAATAAATTTTATTACGAATTAAATAATTTAATAATAATTTAAATGATTAATTTAAATTAAATTTATAATTTTCTAAATTTATTAACATTTTAAAGCATTGTTTTTAATTTAATTTTCCATTATCTACCATCTGCTTAAACCATTTACATACACACTTAAGGATCTACGCCAATTAGTTTTTGGCACCTCATCCATTCCCATGCGTGCTGAGTGGACACAAACCCCGTTCACTTTCGGTGCACCAAAAGAGGAGCTGTCTTATGGACTACGTTCACCGCGTAATGCTACACGTGGTCTACTTTCTGTGGTGCAGGGTTTCATTTTGAAGTATTTGCTCTTCGCGCGTCGCCGACGCAACAATCAGGAGTACGAAAAATACATACATATATAAATTTATTTGTTTATTAGTTTAAAATTTGTTATAAAACATGTGTACAGTCCTTTAATTTGCACGCAAGAGATGCAAACGAATGCGCTGATAAATGCGTTGATCGAAATTCTGCGCATCATATCGGATAAGGGCAAAGTGATAATGGTTCTGCCATCGCCGGATGAGGAGGTATTCGTGGAGCATAGTGTGACTTTCTTTCATGATTCGATTACTGAGAAGGTGAGTATGAAAGCTAATGTATATAGCATTTATTTGATTATAATTTAAGCAAAATTTATTGTATATTAATGTCAAATAAATATTTTTAAGTTGTATATTTTCACATTATCACCGCATGATGAGCTGGAGTACTTTATCAAACGTCATTTGAAACTGGTAAAATACCAATTATAAATTTTGAGGAAAAAATTTGTAATATTGCTTCATACATATAGTTCACTGAAGAGGATTCCCCTGGTACTTTACTGTTTCTATATAGCGCCGTTCTGACACGTTCGATGACAAAGTAAGAAAATTACAATTTTAGCAAAGAATCATAAATTTGTTTGTGTTAATAACTTATGAAGAATTGAACTGCAATTAATTTGTGAATACTGAATTAACCAAACGGATATATTATAATTTGTAAATTTAATCCTTAGTAGTGTTATATCGGGATTATTGTTACCACATATATTTAATTCATGTTTGAACTGCAGAACTTTCTTTAAACTAAAGCTAAGAAATTAGTTCAAAATTTACAAATTTATAAAGTGCATAGTGTTGTGCTCCATGAAGTTATTAAAATTCGTTTAAATTTCTTTAACTCATAATTCAAGTTAGTTTTTTATTATTTTTATATTCGCTATATAATGCGTATCAACATAATTTTATGCAAAAAAATATTTCATGCACTACAATCCGTTGTTTAAATTTTATTTAATATTTAATTGAAGACTTCGCAATGATCTTGACGCGAACACGAAAGCAGTGCCACTGACAATGACCAACAATGAAGAGGGCTCTTTGATGATTGTGACACTACTTTTGACGGGACGCGCTACGCCTTATTTGCACAATGGTGTTGTAAATGTTGGCGATGAAAGTACCTATGTAAGTATATTTGAAAAAAGTGCAAAGATTATTTATTAAATTGGCATAACAACAGGAAACGATTATCGAGTTATAAAAGGCTGAAGGAAAAATGTTTCCGATATCTCCATCTACGCTAAGGTGGAAAGATGAATATAGTTAAATACAAATATGATGACAGTCTTTTTCGTGAACAAAACCCAGATAAAAATTGAATTAGAAAATATTGTCAAACATTGTGCAATGACCTACGGTCAAAAAAAAATACAAAATTTACAAAATGACGGCTTTTGTAAAAAAACTGAATTTTACCCTAAAGTTTGGTCATTTTTGGCTTGCCAAAAGGTCATTGTATGGAGAACTATATATAGAACATGAAAAAAAATTTTATAGTGATCGGATGAACCAAAATCGGAACATGCTGGTTCGAAAGACAAACTGAGGCTACATTTTAGAAGGCTGTAATCAAAAACTATAATTGTAGTATGTTACTTTTAAAGTTTTATAAAATTTATATATATTTTTTTTAATTTCACACTCGATGTGCTCCTAAAATAACAGAGCTTTATCAGTTAAATGTACCTATCCAAATTGTTCACCCAAACTATACTTTACTTATTTTCATCTGCCCGAAAGTGATCTGATTTGAGGTATTCATGTGAAAAATCATATGATTTAGTGGTACAGAAGTCGTATATTCATTTAAGTCTCAGATCATCGCCCAGATGCTATAGAAAATTGCACCACTGCGATATGCCGAGAAAAGTCAAAATAAATATCGAAAATGTGAATTTTCATCGATAAAGCATAACATATGTATGTATTTAAAGTTATACCTACATGAGATTTTCGGAATAAGTATTCTTAAATATTTACTTTAATGCAATATGCGATCTCACTTATGTACAATTCCAAGGACCGTATCATGGAGATTTTTAAGCATCTCTTCTAGTAAAGCTTACTGATCTAGATGACTTGTTAGGGATATTAAAAGCACAGAGACGAAATGTTCATTACAGAATAGCGCGTGTCTTTAGCAACACAGATCATTTTAATTGCTCTCCTTATACCACCAAAGTCATAGTTATGCGACTTCAGCCCAAGTGTTAGCAAAACTTGCTTTTAGTATTACTGCGTTTAAACGGTTTCTTTTAAGTAATCTTTATTTATGTTCATCTATCTATCCATTTATGTAGGCCATTCCGCAGTATGGAATACTAAGTCGTTGCACTATCGGACTTTTGCTTTGGGATAATGATTGTTCGCAGGTAAGGTTTAAAGCTATTCGTATTTCATCGTTTAAATGAAATTGCTTTAAATATGTAATTATATTTGTATTGAAAAAAAATATATAAATATTTTAAATGCACATTTTATTCTTACATATAACTATACCATTACCGATAGCCCTCCGTGGTTGCTTCTCGGCAACCCGGTTCACGACTTAAAACACCCAACTATCCAGTTTGGATTACCAGCTGCTGTGGGCATTATGGTGTGGCGTTCAATCGAAATCCGGAACTTTTACGAAATTATCACGCAGAGTCGCGGTTCGATTTGAATTATTACAGTTGCTCTGGCCACAATGTTTTCATGACTATCGACAATCGTGTGTACAACGAACAGGCGACTGGCATGTTGGAACGACAGGCGACTACCGAAACAATGACAGCGGGCGTTGGACGTAGAGATGATGAAGCTGGCGGCGGTGGTGGTGGTGGTGATAATACAGAACTGCTGGTACGTGAAGAATTGACAATGAATACACCGTTACAACGTTTAATACACACCAAGTGGGAGGAGGCACACATACGCTTCAATGTGCAACCATCCATGCTGAGCTATCTGTTTTGCACAACACCATAAAGGGGGAGTGTTGAACTGCATATGCCCATGCAAATGCTACAATTCGCGCGTTTACCAATATAACAGGTGCTGCGGGGAGTAAAAATGTACTAATAATGGTGTGTCGATTTCATAAATCGTTTGGACTGCAGTGTAGTGCGCGGAACTGCAGCTGTGCCTTTCAATGCGTTATTTATTTCGTTATTTATTTTTGCAACCTACAAAATGCATTTGCGCAAGGCGAAATCTACAAATATAACATTTTTCTGCTATTGATAGCTTTAAAAATACGCGAATAAAATATATTTCTATGAAAAAATGTGCACTTGAAGCTTTGCTCGTATTATAAATAAATAAATATTTGCCGCTGACTAACTTAAGGTCTGAATTTTTACTAGTGAGCGAAATATTTTAATATGTTTGAGTGGATACAATCTGATAGCCACTTGTGAATTTCAAAAAATCAATATTTAAGAATATGTTAGAGCGTATTTATATGAATTTTTTTAACTTAGTGTAATCGGCTCCATAAATTTCAAAGTTTTTGGTTTTTTTACCTGCAAGTTTCTGAGCTTTCTGTGCTTACAAGGTGTAAATGGTTGATTGAGAGGTGGATAGTCGTCAAGAGTCGGCTTCATAAAGGGAACCATATTTGTCAAAGTCATTGTTGGCTTATCATAAAATAAGATTTGAATGCAATAGAGCGCTTTCAGATTTTACATTAGTCAATGGCCAGAATACAGTGTATCTTCTACGATTTCGTAGTGCTTTGAAACCTTAGCCACTTAGTTAACATGGTTTTTTTGAGCTACACCTGGAAGTCGTTTAAGGTTCATAACGAGTCTACCAAAGTATATGTATATCATAACCCCACTTTCGGGTACTATGTAGTTCTCAAATGGTTCAAAATTGCATACTATTTTTATGATGAATGCTCCTTGTTATACTCGTCGAGTTTGATATAGAGTTATATACGAGTACATATATATAAATTTTCAGGATGAAGAGACGAATTGAAATTCGAATGTCTATCTGTGCAAGCTGTAACGTGAGCAAAACTTGAGATATTCCAATGAAACCTTGTACACGTGTTCCTTGGCAAAAAATGGGGGATGATCGTAGATGGGCGTAATTTGATACAAGGGATAGTAGTGGTAAGGGGTACTTGTGCGCTAAAATTTTGAAAAAATGGAAATGGCCCCGTCCTCTAATAGGCTTACTACCACCACTAACCACCACTAAAACTAAAATAACCAAAGTTGCTCAGGATAAATCCTTTAAGAATCAGCCTACCCCCCTATCCAGTGTGGGAATGGATGAAATCGGATTACAAGTATAACCCCGTCCTCTGCCCATATAACGATTTTGTTAAAAACTACGAAAAGCGCGATAAATCAATTAATAAACGCCAGAGACATTACATTTTACACCCAGTATGTTACAAGAGGGCTTTCTAGGAGTCGGTGTTAAAATAAGACAATGGTCGTGGCACCGCCCACATTTAGGTGAAACTCCATATATCAGTTGCTACTACAGCGATATCGACCAAGTTTGGTATGTAACATTATCTTGGATGTAACATTCCTATGTTCAAGTGCGATAATGCGCGTAAACGGTTTACAATCACGCCTACTTCCCATATATCACAATTTTAATTTACATCTGTTTATTTCACTTTCCAATATAAAAATTAAGCACCAATGAATGCTAAAACTTTGCGCGAATGCTGGCTTTGAAGTGTACCAGCTTATGACCAAAAATTATCCAAATCAGACCAAAACTGTTCGAGCCACCAGGTACTGAATATATGGACCCCAGTTTTATTGCGAACTTTTATCGAAAATATATACTTGTATTCGATCTACTTTACCAAATTCACTCGCCCCAAAAAATGAAATAATAATTAATCGACTAGTTCCAAATAAATTGTTTGTGTTTAATATTATTATATTGTATTATCTTTCATTTTATTCAAAACTTTCGGTTCTTATATTTTTCTTTGCATATCTGCATTGTGTGTTGTAAGTAGTATAGTATATATTTACAAAAACTTTTTAATTACATATCTTTTTAAACATTTTCACAATATTTTTCATTTCTTGCATTTTATATGTTAATGCTGTATCGGTATACCGGGCTGCGCTCAGTGCTAGAGTTATATAATGCTATAATACTTATTGATGTATATTTAACTTCTTTTATACAACAAATTTTCGAAAGTCTAGCTAAATGTGTAGTGGATTTATTTTCATGTATATGTACATATATATAGTCATATCATATTAAATGTTAGTCATTTCTGTGTTTGGTATATGAAATTTGAAATATCTACTAATAAATATTTAAAAAATGTTGAAGGTCATTTTAAGAGCTCGTATAGTTATATAATTTGTAGTTTTATTTTATTTTCGTATCAATATTATAAGTAAGTAGTAATAGTATTAAAAAGGTTAGGGAAGAAATTAAAATTATAAATTCTTTTGTTATTAAAAATTAACTTTAGAGTAAAAAAAGTGTGTCTGACACTATTTATATATATTTTTATTTATGAAAATACTTTTGTAAAGGCAAAAAAAATTCGCTTGCTAAGTTTTGAGTAAAAGTATTTCTAAAGACTGTGCGACCTATCGCAAACTTATTTTAGCAAAATTTTGTAAAACAGAAATTTTGAAAATTTTTCAAAATGATTTAAAAATTGTTTAAAAATATTAAAATTGTTTAAAAATTGTGAATTAAAATAATAAAGTTTTTGGAAATTAAAATGCTTAGCAACAGTTTCAATTTTCTTTAACAATGTTTGAGAAAATTTTGGGTTTTAAATTGGAAATAGTTTCGAAATTCTTATTTTTTTAATAATTAAGTATAAATTATAGTATTTACTATGGCAAATGCAAAATAATTTCTAATTCATCTTTGAAATTTTGGAAAGTCTTTTTATGGCTATTATTTTACATATTTTTTATCTATGTTTATATTTAGTGTCTATTATAATATTGAAACACTATGTATTTGTAAATCGCTTATTTTAACTACATTATGATTGTTTTCGTAAGTACCACGTACTGTATGTTGTATAAGCATTATCTGTTGGAAAATTTAAAAATCGGATTTAGCTACAAAAACTGTAATAGAAATGGAGCAAAGTCAATTCGCTACCTTATTTTATGTCATATTTCTTTTGAATTAAAAATTTTATATTCTCACTAATGTTGCTAAATATTGTAAAAATCGTGCAATTGTTGAGTTGAGAAAAATTTCTTTTTTTTTATCAAAGATAAGCAAAGTAAGTGCAAATAGAATTATTTTTTGGCGAAAATAGCTTAGATAGTATAGAAACTTTTTTATGAATCTTTAATAGCTCTTGCACTCAATATCTTCTGCACTGTGGCGTCGAAAAATTGCGTTCTACGCTCATTTATGTTAAATGTAACATATTTAGAGGCTGACTTCTTTTGCGGCGCAACGACAATTTCGTATTTAAAATCAAGGAATGCAACTTGAAAGCAATATACAGCCTGCTTTTAGCGCATCGACTTAACTTTGTACTTTAGTACTGGGAAATTTTATGAAAATAGTTAACATATATTCTGCTTTTAGGCGTATCCACTTAACTATGTATGTATGCTTTAGTACTACGCTATATGAAATTAATGAAATCATGAAAACTTAGTATACTTTTAGGTATTTTGGTATTCCCTTGCTTATGAATTTCTTTCGAAAACAGTAAACATGTTGACTGCTTTTAGACGTGTAACGACTTAACGTTGTGCTACAGTACTCAACTGAAATTTTTAGGCATTTTGGTATTTCTTTGCTTGCGAATTTTTTTTGAAAATAGTAAACATGTGGTCTGTCTGCGCATTGACTTATCTTTGTGCTTTAGTACTGAAAAATGTCAAATGAAAACATAAACACATAACAGGCTTCAGGCTGTTGTTTTATATTTCTTTGCTTCTGTATTTGTTTAAACGTAGTAAATATATAGCCTGCTTATAGGCGCATATGAAGTTTTTTTTAACTACCGTATGCTGGAGAATCTATTTTGTGGCATTTTGTGAGTGACCAAAAATGTGCATCGATTTTATTTTATTGTTATCAAATAGTAAATATATATACATCGCCTTATTGCAGTATATTTTATAAAAAGTATACTTTCGCGTATATGCTTCTACAAAAGTTGTTTAGACTAGATACAATACCTGTTTCTATAAATCTATCTATTGGTTTAGAAGCACACATTTACGCGCTTAGCAGGTTTTTTACCTTTATTCGTTTGTAGTTTTGTATTTAAATTTGTTTTCTGCGTAGTTTAGTGAGTTACATAAAATTCGGAAATCATATTTTTATTATTTACGTCTTTATTTCTAATAAGAATTCCTTTTATAAATATACATTTTTTTTTTTAGTTTTAATAAAACCACTCTTGTTTCGAATTTATGTGGACGTCTTTTCCTACACTTTGTTTAGCTTTTTTTCCCTTATTTCCGCTTGTAATCAAGAAATATACTTTATATGTGATGCCATTTGCATCCAGCTAACAGATGAGCTTGCGGACTACAATAGGTATGGATTCTGCTTCAAACATTGAGCACAACTTTGTAACTGAAAAGGTGGCTTAGGATTGCATAACCCTTAGCTTTAAGAAATTGATATAATATTGAAAATATACCACTGCTTTTAAGGGATATGAAGTATTTGGGCTTACTCCCAAATGCTTTTTTAATCACATTTATTATAATGTGGCCGTCATACTTTGGCTTTGAGCTGTGGTTTCACTTTAAAACTGCTCGTTGAATATCCAAACAATTTTTATCGCAGCAAGGATTTTTGGTGGTATTTATATGTCAATATTATTATTAATAATAGGTATTACTCAAATTCTTACGAAAGTGGATAGTTCTGTGTTTCAAAGTTTTATTTGTGGCAGTCAGAATTCTTGTTGTTTTAAAAAATTTTAATGGTTTTCCAAGACTAGAAAGCAAATTATTAAAACATTTTTTTAGATGAAGTAATTATTTGACATCCACAAAAATATACTTGTAAGCTCTACGCATGCATTTTAGTGAATTGAAATATTGTAATCAATTATTGTGATAATATAAATTAAATATGTGACTTTTGCAATTTAAATTTCTATTCTTCAAAAAAAAAAAAATTGAACTCCTCTTATGAAAATTAATCTCTACTGACGCATTGGCACTCGAATTTACTGATATTGTAATATTTTTGTTTTCAATTGCCTTAATTTGAAAAAGAAAAAAATTTGTAAAATATAATAATAATTATAAATAAATTTTATAAAATTTGGTATAAATATAATTATAATTTTATTTCCATCATTTTTGTTTTATTTTTCTTGGAAGCTATACATATTTTCTATAGAACAACAACAGTTTTTTAGACTAAAATAAAAATCTTATTTACGAAGCAATATACTTTACAAGTGGTTTTTTTGTTTTAAGTAGGCTTAAAGCTTCAAAAATTAGACGTTATTTTTTTTTTTAATTTTAAAAATTTTAAAATTTGAGCTCATAGTATCTTAAAAAACTAAACGTAAATCAAATATATGTGACAACACTCCAAGGTAACTAAAACTAAAGTTTTAAAGTAGTAATTTATAAATTAGGCGACACAGCAGATTTATCACTTAAAATATTTAACTATATATAAATTATAGTAGCTATACCTAAAAAAATCGTTATAAAATAAAACTCTTATGAATATGACATTCCACTGATATACTTACAGCTACATACATGTATACATAGTACAGATTATTTTGCTTATGAACCAACTTATTTGTAATTTGTGACTTAATATGCTTTGGTAAAAATAGTATTTTGTGAAAAATAACTGTACAAATTGTAAGCGCCTAACTAATTTTTATACAAATTGTATGCCTTTTATGCTCACTCTTTTCTTATTAAAATCACACTTTATAAATAAAACTTAAACGTATTCATATAGGTATATAGGCGATAAATCGCGACACAGTCGAAATTCCATTTTCAAAACTAAAATGGTTTTGCGCCGAGTTCTTTGAAAAACATCAGTAAACGTTTTTAGTGCTTGCAGCTGTTTAATTAAGCTTTGGTTAAGGATTTCTACCACAGCACATTTTTGCGCGCCATTTTAGTGTTGCCAAATGAACCTAAATTTGTATATTCCATACATTTTACGTACGCACTAAAAATGTATTTAACGTCACTAAATTCGTATCACCATGTAATGTCATATTTAAGGGCGCAGCATTTGAGTTCTTCTTCGTTTGCGTGTGCCACGTTAAGATCTACAAAATAATTAAAATTTTATTTTATAAAACCATATGAGAATTCGTGTGTGTATGTGTATTACCTCTGTGCAATTGGAAGCCAACAGCTCGATTTCCGTGAGATTAAGTGGCGCTAAACTCTTCAGGAAGCCATCCTCTTCATAGCCCGCTTTGAAGGGCATTTTTGCATTGGGTCGTTCATGCAAAAATTTCACGCTCACCGCAAAGCCGGCCATATCGACGGGGAATTTACGCCCGCCTATCCAACCATCATAGAAACCTGTTATCTTGCCACCACGTATGATGGGCGTACTCACGCCAAATTTCGTAACCAAGCCGACGGGCCACATTGAAACCTTTTGAGTGTAGCGCATCTGTGGGAGAATTGATGATACATTTTGTGATAAGTATAGTGATCAGGAAAGCTAGGGTCAGCAAAGTTGTTCTGCTACAATAATAGTTGCATTTTTAATTTTATTGAATATGCAGAGATGAAAAAATTTATTTTCAAATGAAATAAATTTTAAAAATTATATGCGCCTAAAACTATGCAACATTACACTGAGCGCCAAAATGTAGGCAAAGCTTGCCTTTAGATATCAAACAATGAACTCTATTGTATTAAGTATAATTAATTTCATATAATATGATTATTGCTAGATTTAATAGAGTTGAATTGAGTTGCCTAGACAGCCATATAAAGCTGGTGTTGATACTAGAATAAAAAATATGTAATAATTAAGAAAAAAATATAGACTCATTGTACTAAAAATATAATAAGCCACTATTTTGCAGTTTATCAATGAAAATTCCAACAGTAAATACTTTTCTAAACCAGAAAAAATCAATATTTTCAAGTGTATCCTTTCACCACGTACCTGCTCAAAAATAGAGATATCATAGGTGTTGTCATCATCCGCGAAGTAGAAGACGCCACTAGTCGCATTAGCGCGTATATACTCCAGACCACGATTTCGATTCGAAACGCCACGTGGTTTAGCCTTTTTCGTATTTTTATACTCCTCCGGCATGGGCGCTGCGTTAAGTAAAAGAAAATACTTTGTCAAAAGATATTAAAAGAAATTGTTAAAAGCAATAAAATTGTGAGTAATCAAATTGTGAGCAATAAACGTTAAGTCCGTTGAGTAAGAGAGAATAAAAGCAACAAAGGCTAATGATGAAAGGAATTCCTAATGGAGATACTGAAATTATGCCACTAGCAGGGCGTTTAGCACAATAGCAGCAGCGTTGACACAGCGCACAGCCATTTGGCCTTGTGACCGTGATAATATTGCGGCAAGCAATTCAAGTGCAATCAGAAGAAAGGGAATAATAAGCATTGAAGAAAAAAACTACAAAGCAGCACAAGCATATATATTTATTGCGCACACAAAGAGCGCACATTGCAACAGTTAGCATATATTTATATACCATAGTATATTATAAGACTCACCCAAAAAGTACTCATAAGGCACACCAATGCGATTAAGTGTGTGCATCACCAGCGGCGATGTTTGATTCGCATCCTCAATCACGAGCCACAGCAAATTCACCACATGCTTGAGTGTGTAGCCGAGTCGTGTCAATTCCGCCAATTGCTCGGCGCGCCGGTATGTCGGTGTAATAATGTACAGTGGTGGCTGTTAAAACGTAAAAATGCGAAAAAAGTCAAATAAAAAGTTGTTTAAGCACTTTGTCATATTTAATATTCATTGAAAAGTACTCATACAGATATTTTAAGATATGCCAGTAAATTGTTTGTGTAGTTGTGGATACATATATAAATATACTGAGCTGCTAATAAGCTGTTAGGCTGGTTAGCAGATTGGCACGTTAGTCAGTTGTGTAAGTTGTGCGCGAATTTTGATTGAATTTTATGCAAATTAGTTGAGCAGCTAAGTAAGCAAAGGCCGCAAATAAAGAAAGTTCCTTTAAAATGAAGTACATTTATAATACAAAAGGAAACGCTATTTATAATATTATATTAGATATTAAATCAAATAAAATCGCAATTATAAACAAGAAATACAGTCTACCAATAATATTTTTTAGCTTTGTATGATTGAACAGCTGATTGATGCCTACAAACTAGGCTGAGCACACACTTGAACAAATAATTTCATAAGGGCAGAACGTTTGACGTCAATAAATCAAGATGAAAGGTGGTCCATTCAAACTGCGCGCGCAAACCGAATCGATAAAAAAATATAAAAAAAATTGTTTATTAATTGGTTGTGTGAAGTTTGAACTTCATATTTCAATTAGTATGTTTTTGGCAGCTGTTTGTTTGCAAGGTTTGTCTGGCGATATTTACTATGGAAAAAAGTTAACAACGAGTTTGTTTGAAATTTTGTGTTTGCATCACGTCTACAGAAACATTAAAAATGTTGCAGAAGTTTTTGAGTAGTCTACTTTATCACGTATAGCAGTATTTGAGTGGCGCAAAGTATTCCGTAAACGTTGTGAAGTCATCGAAAACTTGCCTGATGAGAGTCGTCCATTCACCTCTGTTAATGACAATATAACATCGAAAAAATTGAGGAAACAGCGCTTGAAAATCGTAATGTTGGCAACAGAGTGATAGCAAAGGATCTCAAAACATCTCTTAGGGATAAACTCAATACATTTTGGTTATTGTTTTGGGTATGAGGCGTGTCAATGCTAGCCTCCAACCAAAAGAGCTGAATCTTTGGCAGAAACGACAGCTACTTGATAACGTATATGATGACCCTACATCAAATGCATCATTACTGATAACGAGTAGGGGATTTATCAAAATTGTCCAACAATCTAGCGAATGACGCTCCCAAAATGAGCCGAAATCGAAAAACGCAAAATTCGCTGAAAGCATTAAACGCACTGAAAGCCATCCTAACTGTGGCTTATAACAAGTGTATGGGAAATTGGGTTAAGCAATGGCACATTTGTATGGCGCAGAAACTTATTTTGAAAGCGATATTAAAAATTTGTATTAAAATACGTGAAATTGTTGTGGTTTTTTTGTCAGTCCGGATCAAATTTGATCTATTTGGTTCGGTAATCTTATAGCATAATGGTTTCATTGTTAGATCGTAAACGCGTTGTCTTTTCCTGAAGATTAGTACTCTAACTGTTTACTTGGAACTAAGGATCATACTTGTGGTGTTTCTCTCAAGATTATTGAAGGCATGCAAATTTAATATGTGAATTTTTTTAAACAGTCGATTTTCAACTATCCGACAGAAAGCAAAACATTCAGCTCTTGTCTAAAAATGTACTTTGCACAATTGTTTGTTATAAAATTTCTTAAAGAAGTGAAAATAAATGTGTTTTGCTATATGGTAAAAATATTTGATCAGCTGAAAAACTGCATCCAAATAGTGGCAAACTTAGTTGTGAGTAAATTAAGAATAAGCAAATATTTTTTCGTTTCTACAATCAATAGCATTAAGTAAAAAATTAATATGTGTATAAAACTCTTTGCTTAAATTTATTTTCTCTATCACAAAATAACCGTAAATATAAAACTAAATATTTAAAAAAATACACAATTTATTTAAAATATTATTTGAAAAACCAGCAACGCGTTAACTTCGGCTACAACGAAGCTATAACACACTTCACTTTTGCATTGCTCATAGCATAAAAGGGTATAAAAACAATCTTTATCTTGATTTGTATCAGTCAGTTTGTACGGCAGCTACATGCTATATAGTAGACCAATTTGAACAATATGTTCGGAGGTTGTAGCATTGCCTGGGACCTTAATTTATGCCAAATGCCATGAAGATAACTTTGTTGAATAAAAAAGTTCTAAATGCAAAAGCTTAATTTGGATTGGTCGATTTGTATGGCAGCTGTACGCTATATTAGTCCAATATAGGCGATTCCAACAAATGAGCAGTTTCTTGTGGAGAAAAGGACGCTATTTCTTTATGGTTGCTGAAAATTGCGTACAAACTTAATATAACCTGTACAGGGTACAAAGAAAGCAGTTCTTTGGCAAAAAATTACTTTATTTAGTATAGTTATCGTCTGATAATTATTTCTTTCGGAGTTTACAATAAGTAAAACCATAAATATAAATCTATTAGCATTTGAAAAACATTTATATACCACTGTTGGTATGATAATGTCAAGGAACACATCAGAAATGAAAGGCGCTGCCCATCTCATGTTCACTACAACGCCAATTCTGAGTTTGAATTGAAAATGTAAATCACATTTATTGTTATTTTGATAATTATGTAATAAGCTACATTGTTAGTTCAAACTTTTTATTAGTTAAATGTATTTGAACAAAAAAAAAGCTAAATCTATGAAAATCGAACATGTCAGCAAATTGCATTGCCATTTTCAATAGTATTTACTTTTTTCCTCAATTGCGAGTATTACTACTTGTACTATTATTATTATTATTATAATTATTTGTGCTATGCTAATTCAATAAACGATTTGTGCATTGCACATGCAACTCGTTGTCAGCGCTGCGCTCATGTGAGCATACACACACATTATATACATATGCATATAAATACACACATATACCCCATGTGCAATTGCATACAAGCAATTTTCAAATTAGGCGCATGCAAATTGGAAATTACTCTTTCGCCTAACTGCCTGCCACAGTTCATTTCATAGTCGGCAATCGGTAACTGCGCACACATACACGCACACATATACCTCTATTTGCATTTGAATGCAGCTGCAAAATGCTTTTGTCTATTCTGCTAACTAGCTGCGTAGTTATGGTTACCCCAAATGCATACAAAGCGTCGGCTTTTCTTCTCTCAATTTCAATTTGCGCTTTCATTAGTTGCTTTATGTGTTAAGGTTTAGTAAATTATGACAGTGACATTCGTCAGCAATTTTATACTTTAGTAAGTCGCTTATAGTGGCCTATGCTGTAGAAGAGTTGCACAGAATTTGCTATGCATCATAAACAGAATTCTATTCTTGACCTAAATTTGGTTATGTGCGTAATATTTTTGCATGATTTTTCTGCGAATTTTGAGCTACCTGGTAAATCGCATGAAATAATAGTTGAACTTAAAAATTTTAAATCTTATATTAAAACAATTAAACTTCATAAAAAGCGTTGACGTCCTACACGACATAAAACTTAGTTTGTATTAATAATAAACCTACATCTGGCATTACAAAGTACCTGTAGATCTACATATGGCGTGATAGCCAGCCAGTGTAATCTAACCTAATCTATATTAGAACAAGAAAAACGTTAAGCGGCTGCACCAAAGCCATAATAGCCTACACATGTGTATTGCTTATAGTGTAAAAGTTTATTAAAAGATCTTTATCTTCATTTTGATCGTTCAGATTGCATACCACCTACATGCTATAGTAGTACGATCTGAACAATATGTTCAGAAAATGCAGCGTAGCTTTGGGCAATAATTCTTGTAAAATTTAATGAAGATATTTTGTCAAATGGATATATATTTTTTCACATAAAACACTTTTCCATACAATGCTTTGAATTTGATTAGTCAGTTTGTACGGCAGCTATATACTATAGGGTTGCGCTCTAAACAATATGTTCGGAGATTGTAGCATAGCTTTCGGCAATCATTTATTTCAAACTTCGTGAAGATAACTTGTTAAATCTAAAAATTTTCCATACAAGGACTTGATTTTGATCAGGCAGTTTGTATGGCGGCTCATATATCCTTTAAAAATTAAACACTTTTTCTTCCAAAAAATAATTCAAATTAAGTTTTTTATGAATAAAAATTAAATATTTAGAAAATATGTTTGCATAAAAATTTGTATGTCGCAGCTTTAAATGTTTGTGTCTTTTACCATACATGTACAGTGCGTATACGTAACCTATTGAAATTCAATTTTAAAGTCATATGTGTATGTGTTTGTTTATCTATAAATATATATATTAATTGCATGCAGTAATAAGCTAATAAACTAAAAGATAACAAAAAATATACTATTGGAGTATTAAAACTTTCTACCAATTACCAAATATAAGTGAATGGGTGAACATAAATCAATAAGCAAATATGGTAAAACAATTAATGCAAACGAAAATTATGCAAGCAAATGCGTTGGCACGTTCATGCTACCAACTACAAGAGAATATAAAACCACCACATGACATGCTGCATAAATCTAAAAACCTAAATATAAAGTTCTAAGCAAATAAGGTGAATAAAATGCGGGCAAGCCAATTAACAAATGAGTACTCAATCATAAGTGATGAGTGCAGGCAATTTACAAGCGAAGCAGGGAATGTTAAAGCAAGTCAACACAAATAAAAAAAAAACAAAAAACGGTATTTACGGGTAGCGATTTTGTGGCATTGACAATTGTATCAGCAGCTGGACGCGTCGCAATGCCAGCATTCGCCAACGTTGAATTTGTGGCAATTGCCTTTGCACGCGTTGTGGGTATAGTACGAATTGTCGTCGTTGTTCTTGTTGTTGTAGTTGCTGAATTTGTAGTGCTATTCAAAGAGCGCTTTTTCAAACTGTCAACCGCTGCAACATTTTGCGCAATAAACTGCTGACGCGCGCTGCCGAGGGTGGCGTTCAACAAACGAGTTGACACTACGCTTGATGACAATGTGGATGTATGTGTGGATGCGGTTATGACTGATGCGAATGATGAAGATGAGTTTGATGTGGAAATATTATGCTGTGTTGTGGTTTGTAATGGTGATGATAACGGTTGTGCGGCTGCACTAACAGTTAGCTTTGCTGATTTTCGCTCCTTTGCCGAGTATGTTTTTGTTGCCGACTCACTCGTTGTTGCATTTGATTGCCGCTCGCTGATTGATAGTTGTGTTTGTTCTTCTGGTGTTTGCACTTGTTGTTGCTGTTGTTGTTGCGGTTGTCGCGCACTAAATAGCGACATTGGTGACCATAAATATGTGTTATATTTTCGTGCGATAGCAGCGGCATCCGCATCGGCTGAAATATCTTTATTCTGCAATAAAAAAAAATCGAAACAAATTGAAACGGAAGAAATGACTGTAAGTGTTGTGATGTAGATGTGAGCGAATAGGTAGTTGGAGTGTGAGTAGAAGAGATAACGATAAGGAGAGAATATGAGCATGACTGTGAAAATGATTATATGCAATGATGTTAAAAATTTTTTTTTTTTTTATTAACGGTATAGAGAAATTATACAACAGATACGCTGTATTACCAGGATTACGGTACAGTAAAGATGGTTATTATACATAGGTAATGTGTCTGTTTGGGTAAAAAAATATATTTTTCACAATGCTAGTAATGCTAGAATAAATAGAAATTCACATTTATTAACCTTGTTTCTATAGTTGAACTTTATATAAAGCAAATCTAGGTGCAAATTTGTAACCCGCTAAATCACTATACTAAGTAATTGAACGATTTTACTACTAATATAATGTATATTTGGTGCAGAACACTGTGTAAAAATCATTCGCATCCGGTGCGCACAAAAAAAAAACCAGTTTGTAATGGAGTATAACTAAACACCCGTGTCTAGTTACTAGTTTCATATTTCTTAAACGTGTGTGTTGGTCATGTGGTATAGTTATATTTAACTTAGCCATAATAATATTTGATAATTTGTAAAATATTTTAAATAATATAATATAATAAAAAATATTAAAATAATTTTTAATATAAATTTACTGTGAAAAATTTGGCATATCAATCGATATATTTAGTACTTAAATTTTAAAATATATGTTTGTGTGATAACCTATACTTTGGTTTTATGTTGTTTAGTGAAACTAAAAAAAAAATTTTCTTTTAAAAATTCCTTAATTTTTTCTTTAAATTTTTTTTCGAATTCCTTTAAATAGTTTTCATGCTGAAATTTCTGGAAAAGAGCCTAAACATATATTCGATCGTATCAGTTTATATAAATATTTAGACATATTCAAGAGATATATACATACATATATTTCTTGATTCAAAATAATTGAAAAATGTCATTGAAAGCTTAAAGCTATAGTTATAACTGTTATAGAAAAATACTGGTGATCTTTCCGAAAGAAGTTGCCCTTATTGAATAATTAAAAAATATGTTGGTTTTTCAGCCATTTTAGAAGTTATATCCACTTCTGAATTTCAAAAAAAAATTTTTTTGCAATACATACATATATCGAATGTACATATGTACACTTGAAAATATTCTCCAAAAATTTCAAGTAATTTTAGCAAATAGTTTTGGAGATGTGAGCGTATATGTAAGAATTTTTGAATTTAGCGTAAACGATACCCTAAACTTGAAACGCGTTTTTCCCGGAACGCTGTTTTCAGAGTCGGTAAGGCAATTACTCCGAAACGACTTGAAATTTTTCTGCAACTGTTCCAGGACCCAGACACCGAATTACTGGACCTCAGTGTAAAGTAATAAATAAGTCTGTACTAACTTTTTTTTTGTTTTTGTTAATGAAATTGCATACTCTCGAACACTTTTTTAAGCCTTATTAGCTACCCTACATAATATAAATAACTTTATTATATTCTGCCGTTGACAAATAAATATGCATATAAAATGTAATTTAATTCTAAAATATAAATTTTTTGCTCGTAATTTTGCAACCAATTTTATTAAAAAAATATTAATATAAATATAAAATTGTTTTATTAATAGTGTATGCTTCTCACTCACCTTAATATATTTTGGCTGCGCTATTGGCTCTTGCGACAGATGATACTGATACAGCACCATGTAGATGCAGGTGGTCGCCACGAATATGGTGAGGAACATTTTTAATGATTTCGCTAACGGCATTTTCTCGCTTTTGAGCATTTTTATGTATGTATTTTATTTTAAGCGGTTATTTGGTAAGATGTTGTTTATGTTTGTGTGTGTCAAATGCAGTTGGAGTGTAGTGTATGTGTTTGTGGTTGCCTTCGTAACCATTAATAAATTGCCAACGCGTACGTCGACGAATTATTTAACTCATTAGTTATTGTTATTAGTAATATTTTTATTATATATATATTATATTAATTTATTTGAGTTGTTTTAAGCAACATTTTATGTTTATATTTTTTATTTTTATTATATATTAAATATATTTTTAGTATTTTTATATTATTAAAGTTGTTAAATTAAATTTATTATTATTATTTATATGTATATTAGAAATTCTAATGATTTTTTTTTTTTAATTTTTAATAATGTAATTTGAACTTTTATATATTTTTGCCTTTTTATAACGAATTTGTGCTTTGGTAAATTTTAATTTAAATAATATATAAATTTTAATTAAAAGTTGCTATATCAATGTTATTTTTTTTATAGAAATAGTTGTATGTTGTTCTGTTTTTTTAGCATATTTTATTATTGTTATCTTTTAATTTTTTTTCGCGCATTTAGTAAGTTTCACGTAATAATAATTCTCGTTATATAATAATATTTGATAATATAATGTAATTTTTTACTTTAAGAGTTTATTTAATTTTTTAATTTAATTTAAATTTATTTTTTATTAATACAAAACAATACTTTTGAATTAAGGTTTTAAGTGATATATATTTAAATTATGTTATGACAATTATTTTTTAATTTTTACCCGATTTCAATTTAAAAAGTTTATTATATACAATTTTGGTTAGTTTCAAGATCAGTCGATTACTTTTTATGATTGTGCAATTTATTTACATTGGTTACTACTACTTTGAGGTTAAGTGTCTTGAAATAAAATAAAAAAAAAGAAATTGTTATGTTTAATAAATAATAAATAAATATATTTTATTTTATATTTTTATTTATAAATAACTTTTTTTGTAGTTTTTTGCAACTAAATGTACCTTTAAACAGCTAAACTGTCAGTTTTAAATCTGAAAAAAGAAAAAAAATAATTTATTAATTTCAGCATAAGCACAAAATATTTATTTATTATAAAAATACATATATATTACAATTTATTTATTAATATTAATTTTTAATTTATAATAATAAATATTAATATATTTTTTAACTTAATTCTGATTCAGTATTAGCACTTCTTTTACATCAAACAAATTTTTTGAAAAAAATTTAAAAAATGTCTGCTCATGAATCTTTATAAAAAATAAACATCTCCATTTCACCTTCTTGCTAATCGATTATTTCCACACTAATCAGCATAATGAGACACTAAAAAGAGCAAAAAAAACAATCATAAAAGCACGAGTGCCTAGTACTGTAAAAACCAGCTGGAAACCGGCATAAATTTTACCAAATTTTTAGCTTGATCTGTAGATTAGATAATTTTTGTTGGGTTTTTTTATTTTTATAAAATTTTTTGATATTTGGGATTCACACCTTCTGCTACTGAATTTGAATGGTATTATAAAAGCTATGAATTGACCACTAGCATATATTTACTTACTGATAAAGCAAATTGAAAATTGTCATTTAAATTTTTTATTTGTATCAACAAATGCTTTGATAGGCATTACATATGGACATACCTACACTTATTTGATAGCATGCGCCATCAACTGTGTTGTGGAAATTAATTGTTTATCATAGTGCGATGGTAGTTGCACAGTGAAACATTTCCTACATACTTGAGATAAAAAACCTATTATCTAGTAATGAATATATGTCTGGACGTCAATTACATGAGCAATTATGAAGCTGTTTCTTATTATTTGTTATACGCTACACTTATTAAAAGTGTGCAGAATTGTGGGTAATTGAAAATTAATACAAATATTGGCTATAGCAGTATATAAGAAATATTTTTGAAGATACATTTGCAGCAAATTTTGTTTCTTGTTTTAAAAATCAAAATCAAAATCAAAATCAAGATAAAAATTGCTATACAAGTTTCTTTATCTTGATTCTGATCTGTTAGTTATACCAACTGTTATATACTATAGTTCTCCGATCTCAACAAATTGTTCGAAGTTTTTGGCGTTGCTTTCAACAATAATCTAAGCTTTCCATACAAGAATTTTAGTTTCATCGTTCAGTTTCTATGTCAGCTATGTGCTATAGTGGTCGAATATGGGTGGCGCCGAAAAAAAGTGCGAAACAAATTTCAAAACAATATCTCGGTAACTTATAGAGTTTCCAACGTTTCTTTCTGGGTGTTATCTATTCTGAGTACAAATATTCATATTGGTAATGATATGAAAATTAAAATTTGTGTAGTCGTATATTTGTATATCTATTAATCAATACAAGTTATACGTTAGAAGGATTAATTTTGGAACCAATTTCCGTTACCACTTACTATATACGCTTAGAAAATTTTTGAAGTGCTAAATGTTTCTATTTATATAATCTAATTTATTCGTCAGCTATTGATATTGATAGAATAACCTATAATTTTTTAAGTATATATAAATATAACTGCTTGTTAAATGCATGGCTAACTTATCTTTGAAGAATGTGCAGATAAAAAGTGGAGGTTGTGAAATATACAGCTCGAGTGCCAATTATTGAACGCTTGGTAAATTAATCATACATATATTTTTAATATTATATATAATATAAATATTGCCGACATTTATACCGCAATGCTTGTGCAAAATGGCTGCGCATAAGCAATGCCATTAACTTGCGCTGAAAGGCAATTACAACAGCTTTTTGTGCTGCAATATGGGTCAGGGCCAATAAAAATACAAAAAACCGAGCATGTCTATTATGCATAATTCACTTACTGCTGCTCATTATGACGCGCTTGACTGGCGCTAGCCAGAGCATTCAACTGGAAGCCAAGCTGATTTCTTAGCATAATTCCCTTTTATAAATTATTTATCAATGTAGAAAGTCCACTAATCGCCCCACATAAATTCTTTAATTTGCGTGCAGCACTTAAAAAGCAAATAGGAAAATACTATACGCAAAAGAAATATAAGCTTAACTTTATTAAATAATCATAACACTCATACGCCCTGTTGACCCACTTTTCACGCACACAAATTTCACTCTCAACTTAATTGCAAATGCCATTTGAGTTTAATTGCACTTTCACTCGCGTTCTATACATAGCTACAAGCCGAAAACTGTGCTTGTACACGTATATATATGTGTGTTTTGTGTAGTGTCATGTAATTGCATGATCCTACACACCGCGTCACGACACGCCTGACACGATTGCGGTCCTGCTCTAAATGTCTATTAAATTATTTATTTATATATATATATATATATGTATATGTATGAGTGTAGATGTAAATATGTAGTCATGCCACGCGCAGTTATTGTCTACCAACGCTGACACTGCGCGTCACACACAACACGAGCACACAAAGCAACTACGCTGCAGTCCTGCCGCGAGCCAACCAACCAATACACACCAGCAAACAGCACACAGGCGACAGATTGACTACCAAACAAATGTCGGATGCCATGTAAAACTTTCGCAGAGCGCGTCGAGCAGTCGGCAACATGCAAACAAAACGACGCCATCTTACAGCAAAAAATAAAAATATGTGGAAAAATGCATTTTGCCCCACCATTTTGTAGACCACTTGCATATTTCCGCCCCCAATTGCCTACGTGTATTACATTTTAAACTAACTGTAAGGAATTGTATATTTGTCTATGCCACCATCGCTAAGCCATTTAACCAATGAGTTTCCTGTACACAAGCTGCAGCACGCACACACCACACACCTAAATGGTATATGATTGTATATATCATGTTGCAAATCGGTTTAAAATAAACGTAGTAGTGTATTAAAATTCAATTCAATTCAGCAGGGCATTTCACATTCACATTTCGACCCTCTGTGGGTTGGCCGCATGCACGCCCTGTTGGCAACAACAGCACGCTTATATATGCTATAGCTAAAAATGCGCTTATACGCCTTCAATGTGCTGTAGGGTGGTTTAAAAAAATAATGTTTTTTTTAGCTTCGTTCTCTGAAAACTGGCTGATGGACACCTCTAAGAAAGGCTATTCATGTATGAGCTCTTAATTGTAACAGAAAGATCCTCCACTTAACGATTTTCTATTTTGTTCTTAATATCAGCTAGAAAATTGCATATCTCGCTTCCAACTATTTGAAAATAATTATCGTTTAATAGATTTTGTAGGAAATTTAATGCTTTATAAAGTGATATCTTACGGGTTTTTCGTAAACGTAACCGTTTAAAAGATATTAACGGTTGAAGTATGGTCATTTTAAAGCAAACTTCTTTATTTTCTTTTAAAAAATATTTTCAGTACCTTTGCAGAGTTTTAAATAGGGAAACATCCAATTAATGAACTATGTTGCCATCTGTATAAAGTACATACAAATCATATTACTTATATACTCTTTCTTGTTGACCGCACGTAAAAGTTGATCAATTTATCGCAAAATTTCTCTCTTGATCAACCTAAAAGAATTACCCCTGTGCTCGCTTCAACGTTTCTTAATTGTTACAGAGTTTAAAGCAAAATTTACAAGCAAGCAGGAGCTTGCAATAAAAAATATTCCAAGGCAGTGTTTTACTACATTTGCAGTATTCAAACACACGCAATTTTTTACAAAGTTAAAACAGTAAAATCAGCGCCTAGCTTCAATTATACTGACTCTTCATTTAATATACTGACTTTTTATTGTTACTGATCTAATATTCCAACGGCGATTTACGGTAACTTGCAATAATATAAAAAACTATTGTATATGATACCTAATTGCTCTAAGTAGCTACGAATGATAGTTTATTAAGCTTTGCTTGGTACTAAAAAGCTTTGAAACGCTATCTCTGCACCTGTCAAATTTAATTATCTTAAATTAACTAATGAGCGTAGTTTGCTCTATTTACCCTTGCAAATATCTTAATTACTTTTTAATCATATTCTAGGTAAATGTATGTGTAATGATATCATTACACAAACACACAACAATGTGTAATAGCTATAATTACTATGTCACAATTACGGTAAATATGCCTGCTATGATGTCTCCCCATGCAGCACTTAGTTCACGCAAAGGAATTCTTCCCACCAACGGCAAAGACAAAGGAACTATTCGTTTACTACATTAAGGTATGTATGTATGCCTGTATGTAGTCGATTGTAGTATCCACATATTCGCGCTAAGTATGCGCAGGAGTCCCATTACTCTACAATGGAGATATGTATGCAAGAATACCCAACAATGTCTGTGCATTCACATACACATACATATACGTACGTAATTATGCATTTTCACACGCTTCGTTGAGCCGCATGTCCTTGACAATTTTCCGGCATACAACAGCAACAAAAAACAAGTTCAAATTTTTTAATAAACTTTTCTTTTGTATATCCCTGAAAGTGGTAGTGGAAGTGTTGTGCAAAAAACAAAGAGTCAAGCGGAAAAAGGGTGCTAATTTCAGAGCAAAAAAACAAGTCTATACACATATAATATAAAAGTTTCAAAAAAAGGCTTAAGCTTGATAATGACTGTGCGGCAAGTTTAATTATAGTGCACATTTAAAAGCGAAATTGCGATAATAATTTATTTTAATTTTATTTTTCTGTTGCAACTTTATTGCGTCACAAATGTGGAAAATGTCATTTAAGGGGTTATCCCAATTTGGCAATTAAAAAATCGATTTTTTTTGCGTATATATTGAATGTACACATCCATATTTGAAAATATTTTCCGAAAATTGCAAGTTGATAAGGTAAATAGTTTTGAAGATATGAGCGTATTTGCAAAAACGCTGAGTTAGTATTTAACTTCCAAAAGTTTAATCCCGTTTATCTCGAAACGATGTATTCTGAGTCGGTGAAGAAAATTATCGAAACATTTTCTTAAAAGTGGGCGCCCCCATTATGGTTTTATGTACATACATTAGGGTAAGTAAAAAAAACCGCGAATGTTGTTTTAGCCGACAATTTTTTAAAAATTGGGCGTGATTTCAC